GTTGCAATTTTAAATCCAAGTTTACTGGTTTCCAGAAATGTCTATTTGAATATACTGTGTATTGTTGCTATTAATAAAAGGTTTACAAAGTAAATTTCTACTAGTCATAAAATTTTTTATTAGCCTGCCAATCCACATATTGTCTTTATTGTTTAACCAATGTTAACATTGATCTGTAAAGATGTTTTACTTCTTCACCAAATTAGTTCTGTAATTTATCATTTTAAATGTCAGTTTGATGCTGACTATATAGATGGAATGGGTCAGAAGTTGAAATTAAGAATAAATCAATACCAGCCAATATTCGGATAGGAAATTATTGTATAGGTGCATAAATACAACTGGATTGGCAATATCTGTGCATTTGTTATAAAACCATCAGTGTGCCCAGTCCTATAGCCAAAATATGTTTTCAGTGCTGTGGAAAGCTCATTCGAAATTCAACCTAAAGATATTTCACCCCTGTTTTCAAATCCAGTTCCCAAAACCTCAGAGATAAAAATTTATTTTCTGATGAATGAGAGAGATGGAAAATATAAAAAGGAATTTGACCACACTTGTCCTGACCATGGTGCCATAAAGTTGGTGGGGGATTTAATGCTCATAACTTGTGGGACACTTGCTTCCAAAATCTAGCTCTCAAACCTTTGATTCTTATCAGAGATAAGAATATATTTTATGATGAATGAGAGAACTGGTAAAGTATATAGCAAGTTTGGAGGGAAAAGTTCTCAATATTTCTGAGCCTTCTAATCCAATACTAAGAATATACACCTCTTTGGCAATAAGTACTTGACATCATCTGTAATAACATCAGGTTGGCAATAGTAACACCAGTCTTTTCCAGAACATGTTTCAAGAAAGAAATCTACATGCTGGGCTCTAAAGATAGAACATTGGCCCAATAACTAAAAACTAGTCAGGATCTATTTCCTTGGACCTAGAAATTCCTGTCATCGGCCTACAAACTCATTCAACTACAAGCTACAAATTTTCTGATTGTTTCCCTCTCAACAAGAGCTCTGAAGAAATCTATATGAGTGTTAACCCCTTAAGAATAATTTACTTGCTTAAAGAACTTTTAGGCACTCAGAGAAATATTTTGAGCAAACCTTTATATGAACACTTTTTCTTCCTTTCAGTTAAAGGAATTTTCTTCTCCCTTTCTTTTTCTCATATTTATGTATACCTCTTTACCTTTTTTGTGTATGTAAATAAACATTTTCTTCTTCTATTGTTACACCTCAAACAGGAATTTGAGTCTTCCACCTAAAAGAAAGAATTGTCTGCTCTAAACTTTCAAGCCCTTGTTGCTTTTATCGATTGTATCACCTTTAACCTTAACCTTTTCATGTGGGAAAGCTGGGACAAATTTCCTACACTTGATTACAAATTTAATATATATAAAATTCTATTATCTTTTTAATCCTTGATACAGCTCTGACAAGAAAGGAATGAAAGCTAGTTAAGCTTTTTTTGTCTTTTTTGTTATTCTTTCTGATTTGATTTTAATATGTCCATTTTATTGCAATTATTAGAGTACCCCATTAAAATTAAATTATGCAATGTAATGTTCATTGTGTTATTTTATAACATTAGTGAACAGATTTTAAAAAGACTAAATTAAAAAAAAATAAAAAAAACATTCCTTGTCTTTAGCCTTTAATAAACATTATCAGGAAAAGGTTTACTGCCTAAAAACATTATGTATATACAATAATTTAGTAAAGATTCAAACTCTGAAAACTTATTATTCATTTTGGAAAATAAATTGTCATTGAGATATAATACAACTTGTAAAGGTTAAAAACTGTCAGTAATTTTAATGCTGTGCTTGCAAAAACAAGCAATATAGAAATTGTTTATATAATAATATTGTGAATAACTATCCACAAATGAATATAATGCAATATATAACATAACTACACTTGCTTTTAAGAAGGCATAATAGCAGGTCACAAGCAGTTTGAAGTATGCAATACAATACAACTGACAATGAGAAAGCAATTTCTACATGTCCACAATGCAAACATTCTAGCAAATATGTCTGACTTGCCAGAACCAACCAAACCACCATTTATACTTGTGATTATGACCTCAAAACTGACAACTTAGATGTCTTTTTATTCTATTTCAAGTACAAATATATTTGGACAGCAAATTCTCTTAGAAGAAAGAAAGTTTCTTACGAAATCTAAGTCAACAACTCTTCCCTTAGTTGAGTTTTGTAAAATCCTTGATATATACAAACAAGAGTTAGACTTCTAGTCTCTTCATAGTTATTAAAATACAAATTTAAGAAAATAAATGAAAAAATAAAATAAGAAAAAAAGGAAAAAATGAATAAAATTTCACTAAAGGTAACAATAGCAGTTACCAAACAATTTCACAATTAAAAACAATATAAGTAAATGTAGGAAACAACATCATAAAATAATAGTTTTCTTATAAGCTCAGATTAAGAGAAATGTAAAAAATAATTTTATCTAATGTATTAAAATTCTAAAAGAATTATTATTACAAAGTTAAAACCTATGATTAAACAGTTTGTCAGACATAATATATATTCAAGATCTTTTTTAATTAACTACTAGAGAAATCATAGTTTTAGTTTTTCATGTTAAAATTTGATATTCACATAAATATTTCTACAAAAATATTTCTTCAACAGTTAATTCATACATATGGAAACACTATTGTTTTGAAGGTTATAAAAATCTGAAATTATTTTACGAGTAACTATTTTCCTGTAAGGAAACATGATGATAGCCAATCTGTTTCCATTATCTTTAGGTAAGCATTCAGAGAGGATTCATCAAGCTTGAAATAAATTGTTCTAAATCAATCTTAAAAATGGACAGCAAAATTAAATACAAGTCACATGCAAGAGTTTCATAATGCTTCTAAACAAACCACAATACAGAAACTGAACTTACCTGATGAATTATGCTAGATAATTGAAAATATTTTTAATTTTAAAATCTGATGGAATATTGATTACATCCTAATAATATCAAATGTATTAAAAGGATACAAGAGAAAAAAAATTAAACTGAGGAATTGAAGAAAAATTCCTTCCAGTAAAACTTTAACCTAAGTTCTTTTAAGTTCTAAAACAAACAAATCAAACTGTTAGTTTTAATTGTTGCTAAGATATAAATCAAAAAGTTCAATGCAAAAAATTTACAACAAACTGATTTATAGTTCAGACAAGTTAGGAGCCTTGATATAGCATGAGTAGAAACAGCTTTGAACTCATTCAACCTTTAGTTTACACTAAATTTTACTTTTATTTAAAAAAGATTAATAACAGTAAACAATATAAACTGAATTTACACCATAAAGTAATTAAAGTGCACTGTTATATCTTAGAAGCATTAAAATCATAAAAGAATTCTTTTTACCTAGTACCAAATTCTAACCAATTGTATTATTACAAAAATGTTGGTTTTCTATTTGCATGTTACTCTCATATAAAATACTAGCTCTAACCTTATTAAAGTATTTGTGGACCTTTGTTAGTGAATTCTTTCCCCCTCAGTCTTCTTCAAACCCTTGAGTATTTTTTCCTAAGAGCACCCAAATCATGAGCTACTTTGTAACACACTCTCAGGATTACACATTTCAAATTATGCTAAAAGTTGACATTACAACAATTTTAAATCCCATCTAGAAGTCATATTACCTAAAATAACAATATAACTTTATTTTGAATATAAAAAGAAAGCTTGATAAAATCAATAAGTTTTACAATATTACAGAAAGCAAATATGAAGCAAGTACATAAACTTCTTTGATCAGGTTTTAAAATAATAGTTTTCAAAATATATTTGACAATTATTCATTACAATTAATTTTTTAATTATATGTATAAGAACCATATCTTAATTTGTATTTTCACCACAATGATCAAAATTAATTAACAATATGGCATTTGAATATTGGTCTTGCAAGCCATTTGTAGAGAAGTCAATACTCAAACAGTGCTCTTATAAACAGTGCTATGTGCCAAATTTGGAATTGATACAGGCTTTCTTATAGGACAGCAATTTACTGATTGCTTCAATAAGGAATATAATGTACATTGTATAATATTTTCTTTAGTCATCAACAAAGTAGCAAATAAAAAATCAGTTTAATAATATTTAATTTTACAACATTAATAACTACTTTGCATGTCAGATAAACAGAGTTTTCTTTAGCATTTATAATAGTTATAGATCTTGAGTCACAACAGCACAAAATAATCAACATAAATACATTGGAAATATTGATACTAGTTTCTATGCCCAGTGCTTAACAATGCTGTAAGAGTTTGGAAAATGAAGTGTTAAAGATTTGACAAAATAAATATTTGCCAATTATTAACATGAAAAAGATTTTATATTAATACCAAAATCACAAAATATATTTTACTTTGTATTTTGTATGAAACTAGACATTTTGTGCATATACTGCTGTTTCTTAGAATCTCATATTTCTTTTTAAATTAATGGTTGCATATGAAATTAGAGTAAATTAGTTTCTATCTTTATCAGCTTGCCTTTTCTATCTGATAATGGCAAACTCAAATGAAGATATCATTAACAATTCTTGATTAGACATAGTTGAAAAAGAATTTTTCAAGTTATTAATTCAGAGTAATAGTAATAAACAAATTGCATGACTGTGACCTGTCCATTTTCATATATCAATCTTATTAATAGCATGTAAGATAATCTGGCTTAATACACTTACATTTATTTCTATCTAGCTCGATCAAAATAAAAGAAAAAAAAAAGAAAGAAAATATTTGCTACTCTCAAGTGTAAAGGAAATTCTAATGAAGAACATCAAATTATTACGAACAAACAAAAAAGGACGACAATGCTGTATTGTTGACATTATATATAATTTGAAAATGATGTTCACAAATCATAAGCAATCATTGTAATCTCACATGTAAAACAGATTTTTTTATATATACAAAATAATTGTATGGCAGATACAGTTATACTTACCCATTAGAACTCCAAGTGCTACAACAAGAAACCATACATTCATTGCAAAGAAACTTGCAAAGGTTCCAATAAAAGATAAAAGTGCTCCAAGAAGAATAGTATACCGACTACCAATTTTATTCACCAAAAGACCACCAACAATTCCTATAAAATAAAAAAAAACATGATTTAACAAATGATGTTAATATAATAATAATAATAGATTTTGAAAGAATTTCTGAAATAATTTTCTTACAAATATGGACTGTGAAGCATAATGTTCTTGAATATAAAAAGAGATATATTTATTTTAATAGTAAGAGATCTAGTAGTTATTTTAAATAAAAAAAAATCCCACAAAATAATTTATGATTCATAAATTATTTATTATCTGAGATTATGTGCAATATATAAGCAAGACACAATAATTGTTTGTACACTTTTGAGAATAATAAAATGAAGATATTTATAGCACTTAGATTTTACAAGTCTTCTACATTCCATGAGACTTGTTTAAAATAATTCATAATCTGAGAATAGTTAAATTATACATATAGATATTTTAATTTTTCACACTTCAAATCCTTAGCAGAAAAAACAAGTAATTAATTATTGCAATCTCAACATATCAAAATGTATCTAAATAAACTGTAAACTATCTCTAACCTAAAAAAAAAAACATTTTTGCAAACATAGTCTAAGTTACAAGTTAATTTTTGCAGTTGCAAGTCTAAGATTCTAGACTATATTTTGTTGTAAAATTTTAAAAAATACAAATTTCACACCAAATCTTTAAAACAAAAATTCTTTATTGATCAGTCTTCTACCTGTAAAATCAGAAAGTCAAACAATAGAAATAATAACTAGTTAAGACACATTTGAATCCATTAGAGTGCTTCTTTCAGAGGATTTTTCTTTCCTCTCACATCAACATTTGGAAATTAATATTATTCCATACATCATCATTTTTATTGTTAAGCTCACTACACATTGTCCAAAGTGTCCGCCATTCTTTCTTTGGTGTATGTCAAGTCTTGTAATTTTTAATCGTACCAATATTTTCTCAACTTTAAAAATCAATAATTAGAATTCACAAATTCAAACAAGGTTTTTCATAAAATCATAATTTATGCAGGTTATTTTTTCCACTTGTTTTTTCAATTATTTTAGTTATGATCTTGTCCTTTATGATAAAAACCTTGAACAGATTTTAAAAGTAACATTATTTTCAAAAAATAAATCATTACTAATTATCTATACTATTTAGAGACTTCTCTCATATATATAAGATAAAGAACAAATAGGAAAAGTTTATTAATCTAACATGTTTCACTTTTATTAAAGCTTCATCAGAAAATGAGATATGGAGAAAAAAAAGAAGAAGGAAATTCTGGTATTTTTATTTTTGTGTTGTTTGATTTACATTGATTAATCAGGTTTCACATGCATTTGACATTATTATAATTTATGATGTTCTGAATTCAAAGAGAGACAACATGTCCTTTTGAAGTTCCAAGATATTAACAGATTCCAAGTCTAACTGAAAAACCCTAAACATTGCTTTATGTATATAAGTTTATAATAATTTTAGGTGAATTGTGGGATTCAGATGATAATGTATATTTGTAAGTGTGTAGTGTGTATGTCTAGTAGACATTAGGTTTGTTGGTTTTTTGCATGTTGATTTGGGAATGGTTTTACATACACACTGATTATTTTAGATAAACATACATTAGATTTTTTAAGAATGGATTCAATAAAAGGTTGGTGTTCTAATATAATGTTTTTGATGTGTGTTTATAGCTGGTAATATATTTATTAGTAATCGAAGTACTTTCAATGTAAAGAATTATATACACTATTTACATTTGAACTATTGCCCTTATTTTTGTTGTTGTTACTGTAACATTTCAGCTATGTGTCCTGCTTCATCAGGTGTATATCATCTGGGTAACCTGCAGGGATTGAACTCACGACCACTATGTCACCAAATTCACAAACCAATGCTGTTATCCACTAGGCCATTGTTCCATAGGCACCTTAAACCTAGCCTGGCTGCTGATTAGGTTGCTGTTGGCTGTCATTTTTTGATTGCCGCTGCTGCTGTTATTGTTATTGTTGAAGACTTGCCATCATTTGTCTTTCTTTCTTTATTAGTGGCTCCCATATTATATTTATTTCTATGCTTGGCCTGCTACGTAGGTCCTCATAACCTAGCATATGTATCAGAAAAAAAATGCAAGTTGACACCTGGGATCATAAATGGAATGATAAAACTAGAAACAAAAAAAAGAAAGGAGTAACTTGAAAGAGTATTATCAAGAAATTCTTCCCATTCAGGAACATGCAACAACAAGTCCAATATGGAGGTTAACAATGTAAACAAAGACAGCAAAGGAAAAATGCTCAATGTTTATAGAAATTAGATGGAGAAACTTTATTTACAGCATAAACAACTGTTAGATGTAGACATAAATGTATGTTTCTTGAATGTACTAATAGTTGGTTTAAGTGCTATGGGATTATTCCCAGCCATTTAACATCAAACAATTTTGTATACTTAGTAGCAGAACAAAAAGTATATCTCAGCTCTTTTCACTAAAGCTGTTGTTTTTGTTTTTAAAAATGTTTCATGCAACCACTAAGGCTCTTAATAACAGGTTTTATATTTAAACCTTTAAAATCTTGGTTTACTCTGCCAGATATGTAAAAATGAATAATTTTGGCCCATGCAAGAAGTTGCCTTGAAAGGTGCTGAAATCACCTTCTTCACAAAACATCTAGGTATTGTCAAAGTAGTATTTCAGCACAGAGAAATCTTTCGCTCTGTTCTGTAGATGTCAGTCATCATTGAGATGTTGATGGCTCCTGCTGCTGCTTGACGAACCATCTTGAGTTGAAGGAGGAAGGGATGATGATGTTACTCGCCCTTCTAGCAAAGGGTGCAGACCAAAGGCCCCATCCTAAAACCAGGCTACAGTCCCAAAGAGATTTGTCTCAAAAGGTGTGAACTCACTCTTATTAGCATCTCCAAGGCGTGGCTAAACTTAAACAAGTCAATTTGCATACACACAAGAAAACTCTTTATGAACAAAATAAACAGATCAGTTAACTTTTCTTTCCTTTTCCCACTAGTCAAATTGAAGAATCAGAGAGCAGAATTTAAATTCCAGTTGAATCTATTGCATTCACTTACATGCTAATACCCTTGGGAAAGGTATGAATCTTCCTCTTCTCCCTCTCCCAGCTACGAGTAAGTAGCAGGACAGACAGGGTTCTATGGCCAATGAAAATCAAACAAAACAAAAATAAAAATATCAGAATTTCATTCTTTTTTCTTCATATCTCATTTTCTGATGAAGCTTTGATAAAAGTGAAACATGTTATATTGATAAACTTCACTAATTGTTCTTTATATTAACATTCTGTCAAATTCTTGTCCATATTTGATCCCAATTGATATTATATATATATATATATATATATATATATATATATATATATATATATATATAATTATTTATTTTAAAATAAATAAATAATTATATTTAGGCTCTACTTTTTGTATCGAAAGCACTGTTTTTTAAAAATAATAACTAAAAATACTAAAGAACTTTGGATTATTTACCTAATATTAGTTCTTTCCTATTTTCTATATATTTTCACACACACACACACACACACATATATATATATATATATATATATATAATGTAGACACTTCATGGTGACTGCTAGTTTCATGCTTGTTATATAGGAATCGCTAGTGAGCAAACATGGCCAATCCCATTTTGAATAAGTAAATCACGTGATAGTAAAAGAAATGTATATATGGGAATTAGCATGGTGTCTAATGGATTACCATTTCTACTCTATCCTCTATTAGTATACAGATCACTCATCCAAGAATTGAGGAAAAAGACAATTCACAAGTACATAGTGTCCGATCATGTAAGAATAAAAACTACAAACATTCCTTTCCTTACTTACAGGAATAGGCGGAGATCAATAGATTCTTATATTTTCATACAAGCTTGAAGTCTTCTATGTTATAAAGTAAATTCAGGTTTGTATTTCCAGTAGACAGTATGTAAGCAAATATATGGATATAAATCTGACAGTATAAAGAAAAATATACAGAAAAAACAAACAAAAATCTTAATATGCAATTATGCTGTATTAATGTTAATATAAAGTCAACGTCGGACGTTTCGGTCTATTTTAGACCTGCCTAATATTTTGAAATCAGATTTTTGTTTGTTTAAAATTGTTCCATCGTGCCTGTCTAATATTTTGAAATCATTTTTGATTTGCTTTGTAACGTGGAGGACTTCAAGCTTGTATGAAGATATAAGAATCTATTGATCTCTGAGTATTCCTATATCAATGGAAGGGATTTCTTTATATGAGAAAATAGATTTTGTTTATATGAGAAAATAGTTCAATCGAACTTGTTTAATATTTTAATATTTTGAAATCATCTTCAAATACGTTTTCACAACATCGCCCACGTGACGACGACGTGATCATATTTAAACGGAACGCTGATCTTACATAAAAATTTCAGTTATCTGTTTGGATTAGTTGTGGTCTTATGTCCATTATCTTTTCATGTTGAATTTTATATGTTCTAATGTTAATTATGTTTTATGAATATGTCCTGATGATGGTCTAAAATGGACCGAAATGCCCGACGTTGACTTTATATTAACATTAATACAGCATAATTGCATATTAAGATTTTTGTTTGTTTTTTCTGTATATTTTTCTTCATATATATATATATATATATATACACACACACACACACACACACACCAAGCATGCATGAATTAAGAGTACCCTTGAATAACCTGCTAAAGAAAAATGTGAAATGGAATTGGACAGATCAAAGTGCTTTCAAGGAGATCAAGTAAGTCTTAACATCAGATTTGTCAGCAGCTCATTTTGACCCTAAATTAAAGATTGTGGTTGCATCAGATGAAAGTGATTCAGGTATCAGAGCAGTGATACTACACAAATATGAAGACGAAACTAAACCAATAGCTCATGCTTCAAGATTATTGAATGCAGCGGAAAAAAAGCTAGAGCCAGATAAAAAAGGAAGCACTGGCCATCATATTTGCTATGGTAGAGAATTCATACTACAGACAGGCCATCATCTA